CCAGAATCAGTTAACAACAAAAAAAATAACCATCAATCAGTATGGAATTTTTTGCACTCTTAGAAAATGGGCTCCCAATTTCATTTAGAGGTCAAAAACGCAATGACCTTGAATGACCTTGACCTTGAAATATGACAATTGAGTATCGCCCAAATTTCCATTAACAAAATATCTAACCTCTAGGTCACTCAGGAGCAAAGATATAGCCAATTTACAACGGGAAAATTAGCTGAAATGCCCTGTATTTATCTAACAATTCTGTAAGGATAGAAATCAAAATCATTGCTTCTTCAATTCGGCGCCACAACGAACCAGCTGTGAAGAGCTAGGTCAGATTAGTTATGCAAAAGGTTATTTTGTCTACTAGACGTAGTTTTGAAATCAAAAATTTTTTTGAAAAAAGGGCTTTTTTAAAGTAAATCAGCAACAAATAAACTCGCGACCAGGAGCTAATGGTGCAACCATCGAAGTGGTTCAAGAAAAAGAACAACCTGCGCGTAGCAAGGATGTTGGTCGTGATACAGAGCAACAGAGCGGCAATATTCAAGAGTCTTCAACCACAGATGCAAATCCACAAACTAAACGTGCTAGAGGTAGGCCAAGAAAAGTTGCTCCAGCTAATGGTACAATCATCGAAAAGGTTAAGGTAAGTTTGCATTCGTAAGAATATTTCGAGAAGATTTCGATGCAATATTTCAATTATTCATTTTTTCATTAGGTTCCAGAGAACGAAAAATCACATTCAGCAAGTAGTAAAGGATGTTGGTCGTGATACAGAGCAACAGAGCGGCAATATTCTAGACTCGGTTTTTGATAATCTGGCTTCCTTTGAAGATTTCTAACGATTTTTGGATGAGCAAGAAAATTTTGACAATTCCCCTTTGGCATTACTCTATGCGCTGGCCAAAAAAATATCTTCAGTTATGCGTGAGCTTACGGTCAAAGGACCTTTGATTATCCCTCCAGAGTTGTGTCAAAAAGAAAAAATTGAAAGGATGGATTTAGTCTTGAATAATGAAATCAAGAAAAGTTTTTATTATACAATAATCGATCGTAAAGGTGAGCTTTGGGAGCGTGAAGAAATAGATCGTGTCCTGCGGTATAAGTGTTCGATAGGAATCGGTGAAAATTATAAAAATTTCTGCTCAACATTAAAGGGATGTAAGCTCGAAAATGGAAAATGTCGTATCAACGTTAAAAGCGACCATGTTTTGAACCACATTCGAGGTCAGCTAGGATTTCGTTTTGATTGCTTTTATTGCGAAGGATGCAGAACTGCCAATATTAAACATTTTAAGAAGCATTATTTGCAGTTTCACTGGACGAGAGGATTTGATCCAGTTCAATTGTCTGAAGCTGAAACTGTGAATGATTCAGTGACTCGCCACGCGATCACCAGTGATCAAACTAATTTTTTGACCAACGGAGCTGAGAAAACAGACGTAATTTTGGAAGAAAAAAGATGTACAATGTCATTTTCGGAAATCGCTCACTACAATATACGAGGTCGAACTAAGGTCATAACATAACTTGAAAGTTAAATATTCGTACTGGTCAAGTCGCGTCATTCTGGCATATGTGCTTGGGTCCCTTGCCTACCGGTAAAAGCTTCTCAGCTGTGAAGTTTGTGCAGATGGTCTGTTTCCCCACCCTGTAGATGGTCTCTTTGAGCTCATCTACAGGGTGGGGAAAAAGTTTCTAGGCATTTTAGCTCCTCCTTCTAATGCATGTTGATGCTTATTATTGCATCAACTGCCTAGAAACTTTCTCCCCACCCTATACGGTTTGAGGTGGTTCGCACAAGATACATACGACAGTTTAAATGGTAAGTTAAATCTACAGGAAGGTTTACAGGCTGAGGTTAATATGGAGAAATGAGTCACATGATTAATCACTTGTTGCCCTTCAAGTAGACTACTTTTATGTGACCAATCTATTACCAGATCTTGATATTCATCTGTACTGAAATACTGATACAATTTGGAATACTGAGTTTCTTTTCCATTATACTTCTGTTTGTAGGCATAACTCTCAAAAAGTTAATGCTACACACCTCAGAATTGAACTATTGATCCAAATTGCAGAAAGCCGCAAATTTATGATGATCGGCCGCAGAGGCTTAAATGCGAACGCTCAAGTCATTCAAGGTCAATCCATTATTCGAGCTTGAATCGAACTTTGTAGGGCATTTTGTGCGAATAAAAAATTTTCGGATAGGTTAAGCCTTTTAAATGTTCATACTGGTCCAAGGATATGAGTGTTTCCATACCGTTGTGTTGATCAATTTGTTTTGAGAATAGTTCGGTTATCTTTCATATGAAAAGTGTTGTGAACATCTAACAAACAGAAACGATCTTAAATATTCCATCTCAGCAAATAACCTTGAAAACTTGCGTTATGGTTCTGCAATCTCTAGAAGCTCATGGTTTAAGTCTGTGATCTGTAGCATCAACCGTTCGAGAGATATGCCTATGCCTTTATATCAAACAGGTGTAAAATGAACAAGAAACTTTCGGTGTAAAAGACGAATTTATTGTAACATCAGGTCCAGAGGAATGTAAGGAAACAAAATCAACAGAATCAATTACAAGATGGCTTGGCAGTCGTGGTTCAGTTTCAAATCTAGATCTGATGGTAACTCTTACTTATGACTTGAATTTTAAATCGACTTCCCCTCCGACGTCCAGAGGTTTTGGCGGATAAGGAGGATTTCTTCAATTTTTTATTTTCATTGTTATCGTAATTTTAGGAAAGATACTCCTTTTTATCTGCGACACCCTTTACTTCTCCTGATACAATCATCGACGAAAAGTCATCAGTAATATCAGTTAGAATACTGCAATTTTTAATAACAAAATCGGAAAAAGATGTCATCACAAACTGCCAAGCAATAATAACAGAGTCGTTGATTATTGTAACAATCATCAACAGTTGTGAGTCAAATACAATTACAAACTAAATACCTGAACATGTTAGTCTTGCACGTCTTGTGGCTGCCTTTTCGGCCTCTCTAAATCTATGGCTCAATCATAAACATAAAAATATGACCAAAAAGCCCCTGAGATTCAAAAAACTCAATTTTAAACATTTCAATTTCATTTAAAATTTTAGTTTGAAAAAGAGTTAAAAATGCAAGTCTTTGATATGTAAAATATGCGAGAATCTGATTTATATTTCACAATTTAAATATTTGATTTTCTTGGCTCACTTTTTCAACACCAAAGAGTTTAATCAATCTTTTATCGCCAATGGTAATGCAACTTTTGTGTTTCCTAGACAACTCTAGTTTTCAAATTTTACCTAAGAGTTTGTCAATTTGGTTTAAAACCAGTCTCTAAACTTGATTTACCCACAAATATTGGCAGATCCAAACATTAACCATCTACCATTCCTCATCAACATTTTAACCTGTGTTTTAAAACTCAACAGCCATGGAGAAAGCTAACAAGCCATTCAAGATATTGATAACAGCAATGTTCGAGTAAGTATTACATAAAGATGTTTGAGTTTCAAAAGATATTAATAACAATTTCTTCCACAGTTTTGGTCATCTCAGCTCGTGTCTAGGAATTGGTTACTTTTTGGTTAAACGTGGTCATGAAGTGTATCTCGCTCATTTCCCAAAGTACAAGTCAATCATTGAAAGACAAGGAATGCAATTTATTTCACTTTATGACTATGCCGATGAAGGTGCAGAGTTGAGCGACGCTGTTCCTCGAAATTCAGTCAACTTTAAACCTCGTTTTGAGCGGTCATTGAAAATGGGTCCTTTTGAGTCTCTCAAAGAGCAGCTTGCAACTGGTGCTATCAATACTGGTTTCATTAAAATACTTGACAACTACATAACTGAAAATGATATTATGCACAAAATTGTTGATCAACTAAAGCCACACATTTGTCTCGTTGATTACCTTTACCCTTTACCTTGGATGTACTTAGTTGACTGTCCAGTTGTGCCAATCAAGTCAACCAACCCAGTTGGGCCTTTACAGTCGTGGTCCACCACCAAACTCTGGATTTTCGTTACGAATCAACAAGCACTGGGACCGAGTTTAAAGATATCATACGAGTAAACATACTATTTTGGAAAGATTGTAGAGATTTTCAAACA